GGGGGGGGGGGTGCAGGAGCTCCCGTTTGGTGCTCAGGGTGGGGGTGAGGATGTGGGGGGGTGCAAGAGTCAGGGCATGGAAGGGGGGGGGCTGGGTATGTGTGGGGGGTGCAAGAGTCAGAACGGGGGTGTGTGAGGGGTGCTGGGTCAGGGCAGAGGGCTGGGTGTGTGTGAGGGGGTGCAGGGGTCAGGGCAGAGGGCTGGGTGTGTGTGTGAGGGGGTGCAGGGGTCAGGGCAGAAGGCTGGGTGTGTGTGTGAGGGGGGTCAGGGCAGAGGGCTGGGTGTGGGGGGTGTTCAGGGGGTCAGGGCAGAGGGCTGGAGGGGATATGCCCCATCCCCACCTCTTCTCCCAGGGCCCCGTGCCCACCTCTTCTCTGCCTCCTCCTCGGAGCAGCGAGCATGCTGTGGCTCCGCTCCCCCTCCCCCTCGCAAGGGCGATCAGCTGATCGGCGGCAGGGAGAGGGAGTGGGAATGGGAGGGGCAGGGAAGCACCACGCTGGGGGAAGAAGCGGGGGAGGGGGAAGCTTTGCTGCCGGCAAGACCAAGCTTCTGCCTCCTGCCCCCGCAGGAGAGAACGGTGGGCGGGGGGGCTGAGTGGGGCCGGGACCGCGGCAGGGTGCCATTAAAAATCGGCTTGCGTGCCGTCTTTGGCACGTGTGCCGCAGGTTGCCGACCCCGATGTAGAGTTTGGACCTGAGGAATTAACAGGCTATCTGCAGTAATTATTGGCTCTTTGTGAAATACCAAATGCAGCAGCAATACTTACACCGCAATCTCTACTAGGCTTACAATATTTGTACTGTAAAGGCAATTTCACAGCTGTCTGACATATCCACATCTCATGCATATTTAAAGCAATTATAAATATTTCTTGTGCTCAAAAACTCCTCCAAATCATTGCATTATTAATTATATATAGTTTCTCCTTACATCCTCTCTTACCCAGGATGACTTTTCAAGTGTTATGTGGTTCATTCGCAAAACTATGGGCAAGACTCAATGACCTTAACTACTACTAATTTGGTGGAATGAAATGGACAGCTTAATCTTGAGCTGTCAAAGCAGCTAAATATTGTGCAAATCAATGACCTGATCCAGCAGTTTCCCTATGAAGGGAACCCCCATTGCAGGCACAGCAGCGTCCCTGGACGTTTTCTAACAATGCTATCTATGCTTTTGTCATATCCTGGTTACTGTGCAAAGATGGTGTTCTGGTGACAGTGCGTTACTCTATCATTTGCCTTACAGTTCAGTTCCAATCTCTGTTATCAACAAGTTGTTATTGGTCATAAAATTAATGTACCGGTTTCTTTGTAGGAGACTTTGCTTGGATTGATGCCCATGGGTACAATCTCTTCAAATACGCCAACTCGAAGGTCTGGGAAACAGTGAGCTCCTCCAGCACTGCTCTGGGAAATTAAAAATGAGGTCATGCCACCACATTAAAGACACACCAACAGATGAACAGATCCCTTGCTGAAACTCCACTGTATTTTGAGTTTCTAAATTCATGTGAGATGTCAATATAAGCAAGTCGCTTTGGGGGACTGGATGGCATGGGGGATTGGTGATGGCTTCTCCCCTTTCATGGTTGCCTCTCTGAATCCACCAGAGAGTGGTGGTGGTTCCAGTCCAGTTCCCAGTGGACAGTTATTCAAATCACTTTAAAAAAGTCAACTGGCCACTAATGGAGAGATGCCAAGGGCTGAGTGGGCCAGGGACACGGAGCCAGCCACTCTCTGCTAGCAGTGGTTCCTCTTGGGCAGGAACAAGACCTGTTAGCAGGCAGTATGGGGAGGCCTGCCCTGCCACTGAATGTGCGAAGTCTATTTTGCTGATTAAAGAAAGGTTTCGTTATCTGAGGCTGGCAAGCTGGGACCATTCACCAACGCTAAATTCACGTCAAATTTAAAAGAATAAATAAAATTCCCTTCTGATCTCTGGCTCTGCTGGTGTCTGTGTGGTTTATTGCGATCTCCAGTCAGAATGATCCCTGACACAGAACACCGTTTGTCCTGGTGTGACTGTATGTAATGGCAATCTGCAGTGATCCATAAGGCTCGCTGGACCCTAATGTAATGCATGAGGGACTAGCCAGATTCAGGGTTTTACTAACAGCAACGTGTATGCAGGAGGAGCTCTGTGTGGGCAGGTGTGAGAACATGCCAATTGCACATGCTGGTGTTTGAGCTGGGAGAATGTGATGCAGGAGTGCACATGTGCAACTTCGCACATACACAGGTGAAGGCTTTGCTAGGGTCCTAATGAAAAAAGATTAAATCAGCACTAGAATTTTATAAAGGACTTTTAGTTTAATGATGCTCAATGATTCCATCTGATTATCTTATTTACAACAAACAAAAGTTTTCTCACTGGAGACAAAACTATCCACAGGACAGTAAATAATAATGAAACAAAACCATTTATCCCCAAATAAACTGTTCCTTGGGCCAATACTGCAGGAGCTGAATTCCTTGGGTTCAATGTGGATTTTTAGTGCAGTAACATTTATTTCTAAAAGAAATTCTGAGGATGAAAACAAACATTTGAGTAAATAATAACTGTATGTGGGTCCCTTTCTCTTACCTTGAAATCCTCTCTGCACAAAATCGTTTTGAACAGAGGGTGGGAAAGCATTGCCTCTATATAAAGACTGGTAGCTACTTTGCTTCCACCAACTGTCCCATTAATGCCTTCTGAAGCAATGCGCACCTAGAAGCCAGAAAGGAAAGCTAGATTAAGATCTAGTCATAATGCAAACCAATCAAAATGAAATTAATGAACCAGGACCAGCTGGGAATGAGAGGAGAGTTGTAGAAAAGTGTTCAGGAAAAGAGAAAAAGTGGGGGGAAAACTATAGTGATCCTGAATGAGAGGAGAAGTGCAGCAAAAGAAACTGCAAGAGGTAGGAATTGTTCTATGGCCGGTTTTGCTCTGTACTCATAAAAAGGATAATGAGGAAGGCAGAAAACCTTGTGCAGGAGCAGAAAAAACAATTACAAGGAAGGGGCAAATTCTGCAGTAATTAGTCAGACAGAACCTCCAATGGGAGTTTTAACTGAGTGAGGACTGTGGTATTAGTCCCAATAAAGCAGGTAGAAAGAAAGGGTGAAAGTGCCCGTGTTACAATGAAATCTCTCCAACTCAGATTATAGCTAGACCAATAGAGAATTTTTTTTTAAAGTGAAGACAATCTCAGAACGGATGGAAGCAAATTTTGACTAAATCAAGAGCGAGAGGAAAAGTATGCAGCTGACAAGGGCAAATGTAATGCCTGTCTTTGAGAAGGAAGGACTGAGAAACTACCAAGTAAAATATATGAGCAAAGAAGGGGAAATGAATGTGTCAGGGCATTTCACTGTGGTATCTAGGAGCTGCATAAAAAAACCAGCAAGAATATAAAGGTGCTTTTTCTCTTTCCTCCTGGATAGAGGAGCATGACTTTGTCTATGAAGGGCTTTGAGGTTTATTCGGTTTTAAACACCATCAGTTCTGTGAAGCATTTCATAGGCCAGACATAGGCTGGTTTGTGAGCTCAGAATACTGTGCTGTTCTGGTCCCCAACCCCTAAGGATACAGAAAAGCTAAAGAAAATACAAAGAGGGGCAACAAAAATTATGCACAGAGTGGGGATGAGAGACAGAATGACAGACTGAGATAAAAGGACATACAGTAGAATCTCAGCTACGAACACCTCGGGAATGGAGGTTGTTCGTAACTCTGAAATGTTCGTAACGCTGAACAAAATGTTATGGTTGTTCTTTCAAAAGTTTACAACTGAACATTGGCTTAATACAGCGTTGAAACTTTACTATGCAGAAGAAAAGTGCTGCTTTTAACCTTACTTTAAATGAAACAAGCACAGAAACAGTTTCCTTACCTTGTCAAATCTTTTTTTAGCTTTCCCTTTGGTAGTTTACATTTAGCAAAGTACTGTACTGTATTTGCTTTTTTTTTTTTTGTCTCTGCTGCTGCCTGATTGCTTACTTCTGGTTCCAAATGAGGTGTGTGGTTGGCTGGTCAGTTCGTAACTCTGGTGTTCATAACTCTGAGGTTCTACTGTAGTCCATCAAAAAAGTGTCAGGGGTTACGGACCCGTTCATGAATAATTTCAAGGGAGCTAGACTACAAATGTCTGAAAAGGAACTATTTGTACTCTAGGAAGATAGTAGGACAAGAAGCAAAGATCTGAAGCTAAGGAAGGAAAAGTTTAGGGTAGGCACTGGGGAAAAAGACTGTAGGAGCAATGGAGCAGCAGAACAGAGTAGCAAGGCAGGTAGTCAGGGCACCATCACTGCAGATGTTTAGGAAAGGCTGGAGATGTTCATGGTGTTATGTACTGTCGTATAGTGACTAATCCTACACAATGCAGGGAATCAGGCTGGATGAGCCAAACCCCACCCAGACTTGGAAGGGTTAAATGTGCTGCTGTGAACTAAATCAGTCCCACCTGTTGCACTGGTCGGACGGGAAGGGCTGAAGCAGGGAGAGGAACACAGATGGACGCCCTTCATGTGGTGAGAAAAGCTGGGCTAGGACTGATGGAACCACCCTGGCACAGGACTATTTGGAGGTACCTGGGACCTGGCAGGGCGTGTCTCACCTGAAGGGGCAGTACAGCGCTTGAGAGCTGAGCGCAGAGGGTGGATGGATGAGTAACTTTAAAGGGGCTGAGAACTCTCCTTTATTTTGTGGTTGTGACTCTGGACTCTGCTAGCCCAGAAGGGGATTGAGCTTTTGTAGCGACCTGGCTGGAGGGCTGAGACACAAACCACCAGAGTAGGCAGGAAACAGTAGTTGAAGAAACTGAGGTAGAGGCCGGCCTGCAGTACCATGCCTCAGCATGAGGTGATGGACTGGGGCCCCTAATGTCTGTGAAGTTGTGAGCCACAAAACCATGCCTGACAAACAATCCTCCCCTTTATGCGGCTCTCCATTGTGCAGTTCGATGTAACTCGTTAAACACTCTGCTCTCTCCCTCCATGCAATAGTGCGATTACAGCCTGGCTCTCCTGGGCCACCGTTTCTCGCTAAACAGAGACAAATATGGGGAGGGGAAACAGCCGCTCCTTAAAGACTTACCTTGCCAGTGAGATGAAGGTGCTGGCACAGAGACCTCTGCCAAGCACAGAGCCTCACTGGGTCTTTCACCTCCCGGTAACAGTAATATAACAGCACTTCTCCCACTCCACTGCCACAAGCACCGCGCAGGAGAACAAATAGGAAGAGTATTTTAGATTCAGCAGCACACAAGACTATGCAGTTAATACTGTGATTGGTGACAGACAGGGAATTCATCCTTAGAGAACTGGACAGTTTCCTCCAGGCTGTTGTCAAAAGGTTTTGTGGGGCTATGTTGTTTGTTTTCATTTACTTCAAGAAGTGGAAATAAGTCAGAGATGGTGCAGATCTCTATATCCCTATACTGGCCTTGCCAATGTTGACAAAAAAACTACCTAGTCCTGCATGGCATTTCATTGCCAGTAGCTCATATCTCATTTGCATTTGAGAACCAGATTTCTTTAAACACATGCAACGCGAGGACTTGTGTTTTCCAGACATGTCAGAGGCTCCTTGAGGACTAAGGCTGAAGTTTGAAAACTAAACTTAAATTTGAATTAGCCAAGTGCAAAAAACATCCACTTTTTTTAAAGGGCCAATCAATCAGGGGCCAAATTCTGAGGTGGTGTAAGCTGGGCTCTTACACTCAGACAAATGGTATAACCCACACGCTGGAGAGCCAGGAGAGGGTGACAGTAGAGGGTAGCTTGCATATTCTCACCCTCTCCTGCTAGCTGCTTTCCTTGAGAGAAGCCTTTTTATGGCCTCTGAGTGTGTGAGTTCCTCCACCCCAGACCTTCTTTGACTCGGTGGGAAAAATACAGAGATGGGGCCTGATTCTCCACCGCCTTGCATGGTGTGCAGTCATTTACACGAGTGTAAAGTGGGGGTGAAATGCTCCCAGATCAGCATGGTGGGGCTTCACACTCCCTTCGCACAGGTCAGAACGGCTGCACAAGGTGAATTTAGTAAGTGGGAATGAGTCCAGGGGCTCTAGGTTACTAGGGGGTCTAGAGGGATCAGACAAAGGTGGGAAGTTGCATCAACTAAGGCCTTGTCATACACAAAAGTTGCAACAGTTTAATTAAAACTAACTTTAAATGGCTGTAGTTAAACTGGTGCAAACAGTGACATGGATGCCTTTGCATTGGCTCACCCCAGGCTTACAGTGAGAAACACAGTTTTCATATTGTTGAGGCAATTTCTTACCTTGTCAGTTCATCAAAACTAATGTGGCTTGTGTCTGGGAGCCTATCAGAGAGCTCCTGGCTGTTACAGGTGGGACCGCTTAGCCTATCTGCCTCGTCTGCAGAAGCTGGGTTACTTGAGGTGCTGGCTTCAGCAGCCAACTGCTTTAGAATCACACCTGTCTGCTGCCGGATGTCACTGGAATGCTGCGTGGCGACGTGTATGTGAATGCCGGTGAGGTCGTTAAAGGTTTGTCTGCAGCATTTCCACCCCAGTCCCGCTCTGCACATAGCTGGAGGGCAGCTAGCTGTGACCTGCACTTCCTTTGCTTTGACAAAGAGGGCAAATGCCTGCAATGCATTACAAACACTGTCAGTTAGGCTTTGGTTTCTTCCTAGATCCTGTCACACGACTCGAGACTGGATGAAGGACAAATCCCAGTGATGTGGTGCTTTTAAACAGGCTGCCCAGTTACTGGGCACGGTGTTAGGGTAAGTACACACCCTGGGATCCCTCAGCAATGCCATTTCTCGTGATGCTGTCGCTCTGCCCTGCCAAGGCTCTTGGTTTCATTAGAAACAGCTGCCACATTAACCAGCTGGAGAGTTATTCTCTGGGCCCAGCCTAGGGTGCCATATTGGGAAGCTTTGCAGTACTAGGCCCCAAACCACGACAGAACCACAAGCACTTCCTCTTCTTTTGGGAACACTGTTCCAGTGCTGCCACAGCACCCTCATCAGTCCCCACAACCTGCACCTGCAGCCCCCCAACAGAACCCCCACTGCCTGCCTCACGGAAACATGCTGCTGCCCAGGACGCTGTCGTGGAACGATATTTCCATGCATTCCAGTGACCTCAGCATTAACACTCCAATTTGTCATATAATCACAGTAAGTGGATACACCAATCAGCAACAACTCGGCAGTTTCCAGCCCCATCGACCCACTGTTGGGGTAATTAAGTCTTATGTTTTAAATATAACCATGCTCTCCTGTTCATGGGCAAGCCCCTCAAGTACCCTGTGGTTCTTGGGACATCACACATTTGGAGGGCGGGTCCCACCATCTTGCCACATCCCTAGAATGTCCCACATCTTCTGCCCCCCACTGACCTCTTGCCTGAGTGCATGCAGCTGCCTACGGCTGAGTCCAGTTAACTCCACTGCCAGGGTGGCTGTGTCTGCCCTCCCTGCTGCCTGGCCCCTGTCTGAGATGTGCACTTCCACCAGCAGCCCCCTGCCTGAGCCCAGGCAGCAAGGGAAACACCTGCTTAGTGGGGTCTCCAGCATCACCCAGAGGAGGGCAGGGAGGTGGGATATGCGGCAGACTGAGGGAGGATGGGAAAGGGGAGAACAGTGGCTTGATAGGGGCTTAGACTGCAGAGGAAAGGGAAGGAGAGTGAGGTGTCACTTCAGGAGTCACAACCCTCTCTGCCTCCTATTTTGGGGGGCTCTGTCACACACGGCCGTTTGGGAAGATGTGTACATAGATATGTGCATGGCGCCACATACTATGTACAATCAGCAACCCCATGTGTCTGAGTAAGGGTAGCAGATGGTATCAGAAGATAGCCTGCAGTGCATGTCCTTGTGTCTGAGCAGAGCTGAGCCGACCGCTGGGAGCCTTAAATATCCCCCCTGTAGCTTCTAAATCAGGGGTTCTCAAACTGGGGGCCAGGACTCCTCTTTGGAACCCCCCTTTCAGGTAGTTGAAAGCAGTTATCAAATCCCCCCTCATTCTTCTCTTCTGCAGACTAAACAATCCCAGTTCCCTCAGCCTCTCCTCATAAGTCAAAAACCTCATTCTTCGCTGTGAGCAGGATTACCGAGGCAGTCTCTGCACACTTAGATTTTCAGCACTGTTCGGTTTTACTGTAGCAGAGCGATGCAATACATTTGGTTTAGCCTTGGAAATCTAGTGAGCATCCTTGCAGGGCATCTTGAAAATTTCCTTTCACATACAAATACCAGTTTTTAGGTACAAAAGTGGGGAATAACATTATTAAAATAAAACGATCCCTTTAATATGTCATATTTCTGTCTGATGAGGAGTGTCTTTCCCACCCATGATTGTTGCATGCAACCCAGTTGTTCGGTGTGGCCGGGTGCTGACTCACAGGCGCAGCACCTCCTGCTGGTTGTCCAGGGAATTAGATCTTTTCCAGCTCCGGAGCGCCCTCTTCCGGCTGATGTCTCGCCTGCCACTGCCTCCCCCCGTGTCCCTCCCGGACCCTTTGCCCAGGGGTTCTGCCCACCACATTACCCCCTCACACTGGGTCTCCCCTCCCAGGGGAACCCCCAGCCCCCTATCCCCACCTAGCCTCAGTGGCTACTGCCAGTCTCCATTTAGCCCCCACTCCCTGCGGCAGACTGCAGTCTGTAAACCACTCATCATCAGCGAGGGGGGGTTGGACCAGCTGCCTCTGCCTATTCCTGGGCTGCCCCTCTGCAGCCCTAGCACCCTTTTGTGGGCCCTTAACTCGGCCTGGAGCCTGGGGCTTTGGTAGGCTGGAGCTCCCCAGCTCCCTCTGCCCTTCCCCAGCACCGCTCCACCCTAGGTCCCCTCCTCAGCTTCCCAGGCAGCCAGGGCCTTCTCTCTCAAGAGACGAGAGAGAGACTCTTTCCTTCTGGCCCCCTGCCCTCTTATGAGGCCCAGCTGGGACCTGATTGCACTAGCTACAGCTGTGGCTGCTTCCCAATCAGCCCAGCTTTTCCTCTGCCACAGCCCTCTCCCGGGCTGCTTTAAGCCCTTCCGGGCAGGAGCAGGGTAACCACCCTGCTACATTAGGATGTAGATATTTAGGCCTGTCTGCAAAGGCCTATACTTTAAGAATTTAGGTGTATTCGTATTATTTAGCTAGTTATAGAGGTATAAAAGAAAGAATTAAAATCACTGTCTGCCTGTGTAAGAGCCTTCTCCTACTGTCTGAGGCCTGGTTCTTAAGCTAAGGCCTGTGGCTAAGCAGCAGAGGCAACCATAAGGTGGGAAGCGAACGGTCACGCCCTCACCAGTCACACTGAATTAAGGCAGTTTTGGGCTGTTAAAAAGGTGATTCAATCTATCACCTCCAGAGAAAGGGAAGAGCCTAGAAGATTTAAAGAAAACTCAGGGCATGGCTACACTTGCAGACGTAGAGCGCTTTGAGTTAAACCCGCCTTCGTAGACCGCAGCAGGGAAAGTGCTGCAGTCTGTCCACACTGACAGCTGACAGCGCACAGGCATGGCCACATTAGCAGCTCTTGCAATGGCCACAGAGAGCAGTGCATTGTGGTAGGTATCCCAGCATGCAAGTGGCTGCAACGTGCTTTTCAAATGGGGGGGTGGAGTGTGACAGGGAGTGTGTTGTGTGTATGGGGGGGAGAGAGAGTGATTTTTTGGGGGGCTGAGAGCATGTCAGCATGTTGTCTGTAAGTTCAGACAGCAGCAGACCCCCTCCCCCCCGCCTCTCTCTCTCTCATACACAGCATTCCACAGTAATGGTTGCTTTGTCTTGGAGCAGATAAGCAGCCGGCTGTCAAACGGAGCTTTCAAAGGGCATATCCAAAACAATGCCAAGAGTGGCCACTTGACTTAAGGGGATTATGGGACGTTTCCGGAGGCTGATCAGAGCGCAGTAATGCAACACCTCGTTCATACTGACGCTGGGGCGCTCCAGTGGGGGCGCAGCAAACGTTATTCCACTCGCCGAGATGGAGTACCAGCAGCGCTCTAGCCACGGTGTCAGAGCACTCTACATGCCTTGCCAGTGTGGACGGGTAGTGAGCTAGTGCGCCCCGGGGCTCCTTTAATGCGCTGTAACTCGCAAGTGTAGCCAAGCCCTCAGTCTGATAGCATCCTGTCTTGCAAGAACTCACTTATCAATAGCTGGGATGTGAAATCCTCATTTCTTTGTTGTTCTATCACTGTAATCCCCATTTCCCTATTGTTTGTCTGTATAATCTCTGTCTGGTTCTGTGATTGTTTTTGTCTGCTGTATAATTAATTTTGCTGGGTGTAAACTAATTAAGGTGGTGGGATATAATTAATTAGATAATCATGTTACAATATGTTAGGATTAGTTAGTTAAATTTCAGTAAAATGATTGGTTAAGGTATAGCTGAGCAGAACTCAAGTTTTACTACATAGTCTGCAGTCAATCAGGAAGTAAGGGGTGGGTTGGAAATTGGAATCATGTTTTGCTAAGGGGGGGAATGGGAACAGGGACATAGGCAAGGCTCTGTGGTGTCAGAGCTGGGAAGGGGGACACTGAGGAAGGAAACTGGAATCATGCTTGCTGGAAGTTCACCCCAATAAACATCGAATTGTTTGTGCCTTTGAACTTCGGGTATTGTTGCTCCCTGTTCATGCGAGAAGGACCAGGGAAGTGAGAGGATGAAGGAATAAGCCCTCTAACACCAGTGATTTGTCAGTATATTTGACAGTACTTAGTGTAACAGTCTGTTTCACTATAATCAGTTGCTATTGTTGTTTACTACAGAGAGGCAGAATCACTGTATGTAAAGTGTGTTTCACTGTTGCACCAGAGGACACCTGAACACAGTGAATGTGTGAGTCTTTCATATAGCAACATTAAAATGGGAATTTTTTTTTTTAAATAAGAAAATATTGCTCCACACCTGCAAAAATTGGCAGGAGGAAGAGGCAGATTTCGGATTGGAAACTTTTAATCAATTTTTTTCTTTAAACTGACTAGATTTCAAGTGGAGAGTGTCTCTTTAAACATTGGTTTCTCTGTGTTTGAATTCTATGTTTCAGATTCACCTTTTCATTTATCCCACAGCAGCAAACCATTGACAATACTTTAATGCACTAACATCCTCTCTTAGGCCCAATTCCACAAACAGCTTAAGCATAGCTAAACTTTAAGCAAGTGTTTAAAATCCCTACCTATTCAGCAAAGCACTTAAATTTAAGCACATACTTAAGTGCTTTGTTGAATCAGGTCATTACATCCCCATTTGCCTTAAAGCAGTGGTTCTCAACCAGGGGTATGCGTAACTCTGGGAATACGCAGAGGTCTTCCCGGAGGTACAACAACTCATCTAGATATTTGCCTAGTTTTACAACATGCTACATAAAAAGCACTAGCAAAGTCAGTAGAAACTAAAATTTCATACAATGACGTGTTTATGCTGCTCTATATACTATACACTGAAATGTAAGCACAATATTTATATCCCAATTTATTTATTTTATACTTCTATGGTAACAATGAGAATGTAAGCCATTTTTCAGTAATAGTGTGCTGTGATACTTTTGTATTTTTATGTCTGATTTTGTAAGCCAGTAGTTTTTAAGTGAGGTGAAACTTGGGGGTACACAAGACAAATCATACTCCTGACAGGGGTACAGTAATCTGGAAAGGTTGAGATCCACTGCTTTAAAGGTAGTAATTGCAGACTCCTTTCATTTAAATATGATACTAATGGAGCCAAATTATTTTTAACTTATTACTATAACAAGAATTAAGGGTTTAGCAGGAATGAGATAGGAACTCTGTAAAGCAAGTTCTTACAAGATAACAAAGAAATTGTGCAATTGCATAATCTGCATTATGAACATACGCAATGAAGTACTATACTAAAATGTACCTTCTTCTTTGCAAATGCATACTTCTTTCTGACACTGGTATCTGATTCCGCTTTGAGATTGCTTTTGGCTGTCAAAGGAAGAGGATCTTTCAAGTCCAGATCTGGAAATCTTAAAATACTGCACTCCACTTCATCTCCTCCATCCAGCAGCACAGAAGAAGATATCATTGCTGTGTCACTGCAGTTAGGCATAAATCCTGTTCTGTGATCTAGGGAAGATGCAGGCAAAACAGATTTGTCTATATTCTGATCAAACATACACAGCAAATAACGTATTATCAATACTATACATTCAAAACAATAAAAGCACACTGCAGACAGACATTGCTAAAGGCAGTCTTTGTCTTAGCAGCCTTTGTCACTGCCCTACAACAGCAAAAAAGTCAACCAGCAGCAAGCCTTAACCTTTTAAGAATTTAAGACCATAAAAACAGTGTTCACAGAAGTTACCAGATAGCTGTCTGGAGATCTTTATGCCAGGCTTTCAGAGACAGAAATTTTCAACTAAGCTCAGAACAGTAAGTCCCCATGATCTCTTCCTATCTCACAAGTTTTGCTGGATAGGGGTATTCCGAAATAATCATGGTTTCAAAAACCCTGACCAGTTCATTGGAAAGTGTGACTGATCCGTATGCTAAATACTGCATAGCAGGCTATGGATTTTGTGGTTCCCTCTTCTCTCTCTCTTCTCTCTGGCTTCTCTGGAAGGTAGATGGTTCTGCTCTCTCTCTACTGGAGGAAGCATGTCTCATCTCACATCTCCTTCATGGAAACACTTCACCTCAGGGACAACTCACAATTCACAACCTTTTTACAATAACTATACTGACAAAATAACAGTTATGGACTGCTCATCTTGATGGTGTTACTATTCGTACAAGTAAACCAGAACCATGTAAAACTGCTACAACGAGAGAGAGAGAGAGAGAGAAATGTGCCGTATCTGTGACACTTGCACTTCTTGTGTCTCTAGCCTCCTTGTGTCCATCTTGCTCCTCTTCCAGAGCTTTCTACTGGAGTGCAAGAGGAATTCAAGACTTGCCCTGCCAGGGAATGTTCTGTACCATAGGGGACTTTCACGACACTCACAGTATGAAATGCATTCAGTAGAGCTGGCCAGAAAAAGGAATTTCCATCCTGCAGGAAATGCCAACATTCTGAAATTTATTTTGGAACAAAAAGTTGAGTTTTTGAACATTTTCACAGAATGGAAATTCCAACATTTTTTGATTCGGAACATTTTGTTTTGATAATGTTGAAACACAACAGTAAAATCTAAAATGTGAAATATAATATAGAAATATATTTAACATATAATGTCAAAACGAAATATAACAAAACAAGGAAGTCAGTATGAAATATTTTTACCTTATCGAAGCAAAATGTTTTGACATAAAATCAAGAAAGCCAAAATAATTTGACACTTTGCTGTTGAAAATTTACATGTTCCTCCAAAATGTTTTTAGACAAAACTGCTTTTCCAATGGAGAACTGTTATATGGGGGGGAAGTTCAACCAGCTCTATTTTTTTCAGTGAATAACATACATTGAACAGATTGTGAGACAGTTTCACATTTGTAATTCCATTTGCAGTATGAAATCCAACAGGCAACTCTCTGAATAGTGTGAACACTTTAAGGCAGGGGTGGTCAATAAGTAAATAAAAAGATGTTGGGGTCTGTTTGAAAGCATCTGGTGGTCTGGATTTGGCCCGTGGTCCACCTGTTGACTACACCTGTGTTAAGGTACCATCTGGTTCCTGGTACAATTCCTTGTTTGATTTTTACATTGGAGTGGCGTGTGCCACATTCTAACAGGCAATTGATTTTTCCTGGTCCCTTGGAGAGCTAATTAAAGATTTACAAAGCCTAGAGAAAAAACAACGAGGAGTCCTTGTGGCACCTTAGAGACTACCAAATTTATTTGGGCATAAGCTTTCGTGGGCTAGAAACCACTTCATCAGATACATGAAGTGAAAAATACAGGAGCCAGAATAAATACATGAAGCCTAGAGAGTCTCCCATATGGATGCATTTGCATGATTGCGCCCAAACTAGTAACAATGGCCCAGCTCCTCAAAGGCATTTAAGAGCCCAGCTTCCAATCATTTCAGTCAGGCACCGAAATACCTGTGATAGTATTTCACTCGCTGAGCGTGTTGCTTGGTGGTGTGGGTGTACCGCCCACCCGTGGCCAAGGCCAGCGCAGGAGCCAGACAGCGCTCGGGGTGTCTAGACACAGGAATCACCCCGCTGCACCCAGCCCCGTGGGCAACAGTAACAGAAGTGCTCACACCAAACACTGTAAGGCATGGGGGGAACCCGGTGGTTTAGTAGGGTTGACAACTCTGACTGAAGCTATTCCGGGAGATTTCCCCCCAACATGACATAATGTCATTGTCTTAAAATCTCCTATTAAAATCTCCTGAATTGCTTTCAGTGGTCACCGGGACACGGATGCTGACTCCAGGAGACGCCAGGAGGGTTGGCAACCCTATGGTTTAGTCTGTCCAGCCACTGGTACCGTGAGCCTGGGCCTGACCGATGGGGCCATGCCCCCAGTCGTGCCTCCTGCACAGGACCCAGGTGTGGGCTGCGCTGGCTGCACACAGGGCTGCGCCGCCCGCTCTGGGGAAAGCTTCTGCCATTGCCGGCAGCCCTGGGCTCCCATCGCCACACGCCCGTCCCGCTTCTTGGCCTGTCAGCGCTGGCCTGGCCGGGCACTGGCAGATGCAGGGGCTCAGAATCGGGCCCATTGGAGCCAGCAGTGGCTAAGACACTGACTCCAATGAGGGTAGGATCAGGCCCGTGCTGCGCTGGGGGGGGGGGACCTCAGGATCGGGCCCATTGGTGCCCACAGGAGCTAGAACATTGGCTTCACTCCGAGGAGGATCGGGCGCTAAGAGCGCCTCAGGATCGGGCCGGTGGGAGCTGGGGGCGTCAAGGGCCCGGGCAGGATCGGGCCCTTACTCGGGCCCCTTTTCCTGGGATGGGTTGCTTTTTCGCGACTATCCCTTGCCCGCCCCGGAAGTCATCCCCCGCCGTACCATAGAGCGGCAGAGAGAGCGGCGCTCAGTGCTCGCAAGGAAGGGGGCGGGGCGTAGTGGCAACTCTCCCGCCGCCCTTTGCCCCGGAAGTAGTTCGCGGGCGCGGCTGGACGGAAGCTGGATTGGGAGGGGGCGGCCGGAGGGAAACGCTTCTAGGCGCCGCCAGGGCCCCTACTCCGCGCCGCCTACCTCGCGCCGCTCCCGTCCCCGCAGCCCGCGCCCCGCCCGGCCGCCAGCATGTCGCGGCGGCGGCACAGCGACGAGAACGATGGTGAGCGGGGAGGCCGCCCCGGGGGCCGCGGGGAGGGGAGCGCGGCGGTGGGGCCCTGCGGTGGCCTGAGGGAAACGCGCGGGCTGAGCGAATCCCGGGGGCCGGGGCCGGGGCGGGGGCCCGGCTCGCGCCTCGCTCTCCCGCGTCTCTCCGGTGTCAGGCGGACAAAGGCCGGCGGGGGCGGGGCCGTGTCCGGGGAGCGGAGCGGAGCTTGTCGCGCTGCCTGTAGCGATGCGAACCGGAGCCCGGCGCTGGCGCTGCGGGAGTTCAGCGCCGCTCCGAGCCGGGCTCCGGCCAGTCTGCGCTGTGCACGTGCTGTGCTTTGGGCAGGCGAGTAACCCTCTGGTTCCCGGCCACTTTGATCACCTGAGTAACGCTACGTGTAGCATGGCGTGTTTGCAGGTCAGGCGGTAGTTCTGTCCTGTATGTAGTGTGTGAAGATGCCCTGAGCACTCAGCATAAAGGTCCCTGCCCCCTCACCCAAGGGTCTCCCAGTATATACTAGGTGTGTCTTTCCTTTGATTTCTTTGGTGAATATCTAGAGCGTATCTCCCCAAAATGAAAACATACCTGTAACAGTGCAAGGTGCTTTGGGAGAGCGTATTCGTTCATTGCCTCTCACCCTGGTATAATAAATTGAGTTCATGTTTCTGTTTGAGGAGAATTAATTTGTGATCTTTAATGTTCTGGAAGGCCTTTGCCTGTTATATTGTCTTGATTTATAAAGTACTGTAGTAGTCACAATCTAGATGCCAAGAACTTTTGCTAATCTGTTTCACTTAATGGTAGTAGCAACAGCAGCTTTGAATAGCATTGGGGGGAGGGATAGCTCAGTGGTGTGAGCATTGGCCTGCTAAACCCAGGGTTGTGAGTTCTATCCTTGAAGGGGCCATTTAGGGATCGGGGCAAAAATCTGTCTGGGGATTGGTCCTACCTTGAGCAGGGGGTTGGACTAGATGATCTCCTGAAGTCCCTTCCAACCCTGATATTCTGTGATTCTATGCCCTTTTAAAAACATTTTAAACTATATCTACCCCCACCTGCTTGCTGAATGTGGCCTAGTATTCTACTGTGCAGAGCCCATCTGATTGCAATGGGGGTGTGTATAGGTGCCTGCGAGCATGCTAGCAGATTGTCACTCAGGAGTTGAAAATATTGTGAATCATCATTGTATAGTAGCCTCAACCATCAATATGCTGGCCCCAAATGTCCCCTTCCTCCCTATCACCACATAGATCTCCTTGGTTTTTTGACAACCTGCATTAGATGGAGAGAAGGTGGAAAACAAAGGCTGAAACAAAGAATTTCTGCCAGCCTACGCTGAGGCTGTATTACAGGCCACAAGAACCTTCCTGTCAATCTCTGCTGAACCTGTCAAATCATGTCTTAAGGAGCTAAACCACCTGTACCGAGTGCCTACAGCACACACCACCACTAAGCACTGGGAAGAACTAGCATTCTACTTCACTGGAAAGGAATGCACACTTAGGAAGGCTTCCCAAACTGCATGGATCTGTGTCATGCCTGCCAACAAACCGGCCACCTCGGTTTCCCCAGTTCAGTTGTACGTGCAGCCACTAGGTAAATTGGTGAGATGACTGGATTCAGGTGCCAGCAATATACAGATGACAACCACCGCTACCTATTCGTCACTGCGTACAGCCCTGCCGCTATCACCAAGATAGTCCAGTGCTTGGATGGTATCAGCTGATATGTGAACAGCTGGCTGAAGCTGAACTCAAGCAAGACAGATTATGGTGGTTGCTTTGGAGAATTTGCAGCCATGGGGCAGTCTTTTTATTAAAGGTATGTACACACCCACAACTGATCAGACTGTCCGTCTGTAGGTTAGCAACGCTCCTGGATTCCTTGCTGGCACTAATACTAATGTGATATACCTGGACATAAAGCCGTCAGTCCACCTAGTACAGAACGCTACAACACAGGTTACTGGGAGCACATTGAACTTGTCCTGCACTCTACACTGGCTTCTTAGAGAATCACATCAAGGTCTCAGTCCTTTATCTTGAAGGTGCTCAATGACCTGGGCCCAACATGTCTAAAAGATCAGCTAAAAAGCTCTGGCATGAGGACTGTGGATGACAGCTTCACTCCCTTGGCACAATAGAATTTACTACCATAAGGGGAAGGTTCATCTGTGCAGGATGCAGACTCTCAGTGGCCAGTTCCAGGCTGGTCACAGCTCCTACGGGAGTTCGAAGGACCATTACAAACTTCGCCACCATTGCTCCAGCTGCAAGGGGCACAATTTCCACCTTGCCTTCTTTACCACCTATTCAGCAGTGTGCAGCTTTTAAAACAGATGAAACTCTACTAAAACAAAGTACACAGTATGTACAGTTCTACCCTGGGGAGATGGTGAGAAAATGAACCACATGTGATAT